TGCATTTATTTAGTAATTGTTTAGTAATTTATGTAGTAATTGTATTAGCAAGTACTAAATAAATGCACAGTAACCAGAGTTACTGCACAGTACCACTGGTGAACATCTTTTATGTGATGCTATTGCACAGTAGCCTATTGATACTGCACAGTAGCGTATTAGCCCTGTCTGTGCTGTGATGCACTACTGTGCAGCATTTTTCAGCACTCATGTAGATGCTCCTGGTGAGCTGCAAAGAGACTAAGAAGGTGGATAGCAGATTCTGCAGGTATAGTGAATAAGTTAAGTGTTTTCCCCGTGCTGTCACAACAAATAAACTAAGGTTGTGCTAATACCTTACATTCTGTAGTTCTTTTATTGGCAGCGTGGCACAAAATATTTAAGCCCAAACACTCTGCACCTAGATACCTTTTTCCAAACGGGGTGCAGAACCTCTCTGTTTCAGACCCTACTTCCAGTAGAGGGGGAAAGGTACAGTGAGGGGTAAAGGAGCCATACTTAGCAAAGTGAATCCTTGGTAATCAATCAACTTTGTTAGATATGGGCTCAGTACTTCTAACATAGCAGGGTAACAGAACACTGTGTTTTAGTAAATATTTAGCTATATTTAAAGGGGAAAGGTTGAGAATGGCTAACAAGACAGGAGATAAAATTAACAGACTGGTAAAGGTTTGGACTTGTCATGAATTGCAATAACCTCCTTAATAGCCTAAGATAACTTGCAATATGTGTGTGGCACTACGTCTGTTCCCAAATAGATTTGCCACTGGATTGTCTCGGGAAAGTGTTTCTACATTAGGGACTGTGCATGTAAACTTTTTTCAAGCAAAAAATTGTATACTTGAAATTAAGTATACATTTGCCCCCAAAATCTCCCTTCCTACCCACGTAATCCTGATAAAATGGGCTGTTGATGCAGTGTTTGCTTGTACCTTGTGGCGGATGTTCCCTTGGCTTTCTGTGCCCTTGTCCTTTTCAGTATTCTGGAGGAGCACTCACTGCAGTAACATGGGCCAGTGTCACTCTTATTACTTTACCTGTTTTATCTTTTGTGAAATTGAGCCTTTAGCCAGAATTGTCTGAGCTGCTGCTCCAGCAATCGGTTAACTGTGAGGCTCCTCAAGCTCATTTCTCTCAAGTAATTTGATTCCCACGTGCTTATGAGATTGCTTTTTTGCTGAAAGGATAGGGTGTGGGAGTATGTAAGCAGACCAGAACTGTTATGGCTGACAATGCTGCTTTAAAATAAAAACAAAGCAAAGCCATGTTTAAAAAAGATCACATTTCCATTCATCACCCATTACCTTACTCTATAAAGAAAAATGTTTTCATGTTCATTAAAGGCAGGGCCTTTTGTCTGGAGACAGTGCAAAATAGCAAGCTAAATTCGAGCCTTCTGTCATCAAGAGTGCTAGTTCTGCATACAACCAGTGTGATGTCATTCTCATTAAATGACCAGAATACAGTGTAAAATGATAATTAGATTTTTTTTTGGTATTCTAGTCATAAAAGGTTTCTATGGATATTAAAGTATGTCTTGAAATAATGCATGAAATTCCAGGTTTTTATTTTGTTCAACAAATTATTTCTTTTTATATCTTGGTTATTCAGGGATAATTGAGCACAAGTTTTTCTATTTAGGATTGGTTAGTATAGCAGCATTTTTCTATATAACATACAATTTATTCAGAGATTTATGAAGCTATAAAATATCCACTGCTTTATCACAGCTTTGGGCAAATATCCTGCTGTGGTGAGGGGAAAAAAACAAAAACAAAAAAACAAATCTTCAAGGTGAATCATGCTGGGAGGAAATATTTCTTTTGAAAATAAAATGGTCCATGCAAAATAATGGTATATTTAGATGGTGGAAATGTACATAATTTCCCCTTTTAATGTTGATTGTATGACCATGCAAATATACCAAACACCAAGGTAGTGGGATACTGTGGTAGAAAGACCTGCTTTAAAAGGTGGTGTTATTAATGCAAATGATGCCTTGCATTCAAAAGCTTGTCTAATTCTATCCCAATCATGCAGTTGGTCCAATAAAAGAAATCATCCACAAAAATCCTTGCCTCAGATAGTTGACATAAAATTCTTATTACAAGTCATTTTTCTCCCTTAAATATATGCAAAATGTGTTTGCAGGTACTTCTACATGGGTAGGGCAGAATTTGTCTCTCTGAGAGCCCACATTCTGGGTTCTGTTTTATATTGTTGGTCTGTGGTACAATCTAAGCTGCAACTTGTCTTTTGATGATCAGAAAACTGCCCAACCTATTGGGGTGGAGGACCAGTAAGTCCTTCTAACCCAGGGGTGGGCAAAATATGGCCCGTGGGCTAGATCCAGCCCACCAAAGGGCTTTATCCAGCCCATGGCAGGTCCCTTGGCCCTGCACAACTCAGGCATAGGGGCAGCTCAGGCTGTGTCATGTGCAGCTAGTCCTACCACCCCAGGTGTGCAGCAGGGCTGGAGCAGTGTGGGGGCTGGACTTAGCTTCCTGGCAGCCCCAGCAGTGGCAGCTCCTTCTGGCTGCTACCAGTGCAAGCCTCAGCCCCACTACCTGGGCACCTCAGTCCTCCTACCCTGCACTCACTGGGTGGATGGGGTCTCCCTGAAGACTGACTCAGGACCCACGTGGGCAGGGCATGTTCAGCTGCAGGGCTGGGATGGGGCTGCGGGCAGGTGGGGAGCAGCATCCAGGAGAGGGCCGAGTGGGTAGGGCTGGGGTGGGGATTGCGGATCAGTGACAGTGCAGGGCCCAGGCCCAGGGCAGAGCCATGATACAGTTGCCACATGTTGCCATGAAGGGCACCAGTTCTGTAGCCAGGAGATTGTTGGGCATGGATCACGGCTCTGCCCTGGGCCCTGGCCCTGTACTGTCACCTCCCCATGATCCCATCCTGCTATCCCAGCCCCAGCCCTGACCCTACCCACATGTCCTGCTCCCGGATAGTGCTCCCCACCCATCTGTGACACCATCCCATCCAGTTGGCCAAGTGCACCCTGCCCACGTGGGTCCTTGACTGCTTTCCATAGAGACTCCGGGATCACCGGGTGGTAATTGTGCAGGGCTGGGGCCCACGGCAGAGCCAGTTAGGGAGTTCTGGTGAGTTGTGGGGAAAAGGCATGGGGAGGCATGGTGTTGACCTGGCCCACAACAGTTCACCAAAACTCCCTAAGTGGTCCTCCAGCCCAAATAATTGCCTGCCCCTATTCAAACCCATATCATCGATTCTCAGTGTAGAGTCCTGAAACTGACTGGGATAACCCAGTTCTTCTATTTAGGATTGGTTAGTATAGCAGCATTTTATATATAACGTACAATTTATTCAGAAATTTATGATTTGAGTGGTGACATCTTGACAAGTTGCTATTAGAGTAATGAAGTGCTCTGGTTAATAACCTAACAAGCCTTAATGAGAAGCAAACAGCTGAGCAGAGGCTGAACCAGGCCTTGAGTATCAATATAACCAAGCACACTTAAAATGTCTGCAGCTGAGCCTTTGATAGTGCCATCAGTGAGGTTTGGCAAATGGCAAGTACCATTTAATCATTTGAATGACTGCTCGCTTTAGCTGCTGGTGTCTTAAATGGTATATGCAGCACCTAGCATCTGCTTTGATAACTAATAGTAGAAACAGTATTAAATGACTCATGGGTGAGAGAGACCTACCCAGTTCAATAACCCGAACTTTCTTTCATGATTGGGCCCAAAAAGAAAGGTTTGTGCTTAAATAGGGAGCATGTGCAATGAAAGCATTTATTGAATGGTGAATATTATAGGCTTTAACCTGCTAAGCTATCAGACAGTAGACATTCATGTCATTTACCAATTCTAAAGTATCCACCTGCTTAAAGGTTTACGATCCTCAGGGACCCAGCACAGGGGTGTGGTTTGTGGCTTCAGACATGGTTCAGATGCTGCCCACAGGTTCGCTGCGCCTCACTCATCTGGCTTGCGCATACCAGAAAGGTTGAGCACCACTGGTGCAGAGTAAAATAAATAGCATTATATATACATGGATGATGCCAATCTATATTATAAAGTGCTTCTATCTAGTACTGTTGCCCACCTTATGCATCCTCTTCCCTAATGCCACATATATGTGTGAGAACAGTTCTAATAATCCAACCCAATGAGAATGGTGTTGTTCCTTTTTTTGTTTTGCTAAAAAGACCTTGTCACAAAAGTGTTTAGACTACTTCTCCTCTCTCCCTCCACAAATGAGGCCATTCTTAGAAAATACAATGGGTTGGATAAGCAATGAAAACGTCTTCAGGTTCTGTATTTACAAACTGGCAGAGCAAGAAAGCCCGTACATTGGAAAAGTTTTTTTGTTTGTTTGGTTGGTTTTTTGCTTTCTCTGGTACACAAATTCATATGATTGTGCTCCATAAATGCAAAATACTGTTCTTCATATTTTAAGTAGTATTTTAGAAACCTGTGCTAATCTGTGTGCTAAAATTAGCATTCTCTTTCTGAGGCTTACAGGGTTATACCTTGGCATTGGAGGCAGCTGGATACAAAATATAGCTCATTTTTAAGACGATAAGAAATTTCTAGAAGAGTCTTTCTTTGTTATGAAGTTTAAACCTAATATGTGTCTGTATGAGAGAAAGTTTTTATTAAAACATTTTTAAATTACCTGAATAATTTTTGAATGTCTGCACTACTCCTGAGTTTTCCCAATTAGAGCTTATAATTTTATGGGGAAAAAAATCCCCAAACTTTCCAGGATAAATTTCTAGTCCATTTATTCAAATTCACAATTTCAAAATTGGAAAAATGACTATTTGTGCCAATCGATATCTGTTTGAACAAAAAACATCATTTTTCTTAATTAAAATTTCAGCAAAAAATCCAAGCAGCTCTAATCCCGAACTTGTGCCGATAGGAGCCTTTTGTAGCACATCTCACCAGGATTTGACACTTTTATCTGTCTATTCAAACATGCATCTCATGTGTTTCTTTTTCTTTCTCCTCTTTACGTAGGTTTTCCAAATGAGCCAGCAGCTGTCATTGCCCTTACCACTATTAAGGAATGGTTAAGCAAGAATCACAACGAGGTATGAAATAAAAGAAAATTTTCAAGATTGCTTAGTTTGTTTCCCAAACGGTGAAGAGGTGTTTTTAAAATTATTTCATGACTGACCTTTGAAATAAAAAATTAGTACAAAACTTAGGAACTCATTTCAGGAACTTTAGTGCGGGTAAGCCCACTCCATAACAGATATAGTTGTATGCATTAGTCTGGAGTTGGGCAGAAGGCAGGGCTAGGTGGCACCTTAGGGACAAAGTGGTTCAGAGAGGCAGATCTCCAGGTTGTAGCTGTATTGGTGTAGAGGAAAAGGCAATCAGGACTTGTAGAAGAGATGATATCTTTGATTTGACCAAGAAGGTTTTTGCCAAAAACAATTCTTTAATTGCAAGCTTCGGGCACAAACACCCTTCATTCAGAGAAGCAAAAGCTTTCATAGATAATCCTGTTATGTTGGATGCTAAATGATGAAGTAGCCTGTCACCTATTAAAGCTTATGCCATTCTGAACCAGCTAGCCTCTAAGGTACCACCCGACACTGGTCTGTCTGTAACAGGGTCATCATCTTAATCAACTATATTGTGGTAACAATGGCATATGTTTTATTTTAAAGTATAGTCTGCTTTTCCTTTGCATGATAATATTTTTTGGTAAAAGAGAACAGACTCTTTCTACAGCTGTTTCTGAGAATCAAAGTTTTTGTGTAACGGTGAAGAGAATGTAAAGGTAGTGGCATATAATGGGCTTCAGCAGAAACAGCTACCAGGGACAGTGGTTTTCCAGTATTAGCTTTCCACCATAGTGCTTTATGATGGAAATGTTCTTTGTGTTTACTAATTTTTAGGTTCCTTACACTTTATTACTTTTCATGGAAAACGTGGTACTGTCTTAATGCAAAATCTGAGCGTGAAACTTAACTTCTTCCATTTACCCTGTCACACCTGGGATTTTTTTATGAAACAGAAGGCTTTCAAGAGAATGCCCTCTATGCTGCAGTTCTATTTTTTTTTCTTCTTTATTTCTCAGCACACTGATAGAATATGTTCAGTCATGCTGAATAGGGGAAATGCAGAAAAAAAAGTGACAGAAGGAGTAGAACACTCACAATGTCTTAAATTTAGGATATGCCTGATTCCTTGTTATGACAGCCAGCAGATTTCAGAGCATCTAGAATAGCTGAGTCGTTTTCTCTGCAAATGTTTTATTTTAGACCTAGTGCACAAGCCTTGATCAGGAATATACTGTTTTCCTAAGTAATCATTTGTATTATATTTCATCTTGGGAAATGTATTGTTTGGGTTCTGTTTGTCAAGGCTGTCTAATGTGTAGTGATACTAAAAGAGATATTCAGCAGGTTATTTACTGCAATTTAGAGCTAAATGGAGAAATGAAATGTGGAGATGTTCAGAACTGGATGGCAGGAGTTATACAAAGTACATATTTACTTCAAAGTCTTAAACTTCTAGCAGCTCCTCTTGACTTCTGGACTAGAGCAGTGAAGTGAATACGAATTCTGGATACTTAGGCACTCTGAAAGTCGCATCTTGGAGGCCTAATTGTAAGCTTGTTTTTTGAAAGTCTAATCTGTTAGCATCTGGTCTATTTAAATGCATGTAATGATAGAACTAGAAACTATTCCCCTGCAGTCCCTTTGTTTTTAAATGTTTTGCCTGATTGTAACTGGACTTCATACTTTTTCACCACAAACCTAAGAAAAAGGAAAAGATCTTATAGAAGTAAATGTATATGCTTCATAACCTACATATATTATTTGCTTCAGTTTCTTTCCCAATCATTTTTATTTTAATGGTGCTTCGGGGAACCTACTTCTCTTGGCACAGTAGACTGCCTATTAGAGAAAACAGATGGGCAGAAGTTTTCTAGCCAAAAGCCATTTTCTCAAACAAGTAATCTTGCACTGTAGCTTGGGCTATTGCTTTTAAGATATAAAGAACACCTGATTCCATAGACATTTTCTGAATCATTCCTGTTTTTACTGTTTGTCCCTTGCCTGACCTGTCCTGGAACTGTTCCTGTGTCCTGCTGAATTCCTCTAATTCTTATCCGTGACTCAGCAGGATGCCTCAAATGTTTTTGCCCTGTTGATTATCACCTTCTCATGTTCTAAGAAGTCCTTCTTTTCTGCCTTGCAAGAAGCCTGTTGTAAGAGTTCACAAGGGCTGTAACAACTAGTGACTGAATTAGGAATGCTTATTTTGGTCTACTTGCGTCTTACAAAGTTATAAAACCTTAGGGGCAAGGAATATGTGTCAGACTATACAATGCCTTAGATTTTACAGTCTTCTCGTATATCTATGTAAATTGTCATCATTGAGGATATTTGCTTGATGTCTCCTTTTCTTTCTTTCTAAACCAATTACTTGTAATTCTAAGCGTTCAAGTTTGCAAAATTTGTTTTCCTCTGTATACTCTTCAGAGGAGGCTAGGGAGATTCTTTTATGTTTTTAGAGGACCTAGTGAAAAAGAACACAATTTCTGATTGGGTGCCATTAAGATGTTGAAAAAACTCATAATCATGTGTTTACATTGCTGCTATATTTAGACTGGGTCCCAGTTGATATGTTTCTTGATATTCAACAGATGCTAAATCTAGGTCTCATGCAGTGTAGCATGTTTTGAAGTGTGATACTTGCAAGACTATTGTATATCAAAGAAGATAACAATTCAGAAGTAATCTCCAGGCCCCTATGTTAATTTTTGGAGAAAGGCAGAAGGGTCCTTGTTTTGGCTGAAAATCTGATTTCTGTGTACAGCCACCAGTAGAAGAGTCTGTGAACTACCAGTTAGTAATCTCCAGAAGTACCTAACTAATGTATTTGGGGTAGGGGAGAGGGGGTGGACTTTCTTGTACAAGTGTTTTCAGGTACAGATGGTTTCCATAATCTTTTTCTCAGTGGTATTTCAATATCTTGTGTACAGGCATGCTTTGCAGTTCATGCACAAGTTGATTAGCAGTAAAATAAAACCACTTATGCTTTCTTTAACAGTATAGTTAATTTCTGCAATGCTGGGGTTCTTCAAAAATCAGTCCTTGCTTGGAAATGTTGATAACTGTAACTAGCTAATGGTCTTTCAAGCAAGAGCTACTGTAAATCATCATAGGATTTTAGTAGAGTAAGCTGTTTGATACCAGCTGAAGATTGCCTCTTCTGGATTTAGTCTAAACTTACCTTTTCTTTGTTTTTGGTTTTGTGAGTTAATCAGTCAGACAATAAACTTTAGGCTCAGCTTTTTCCCGAAGCATGGCTTCTTTTAGTAACACGGGACTGTAAGGGACTTCTTAGTTCACCAAGCACAGTCCCCAGGTATCATAGGCAACCACTTCACATAACCCCTTTTATAAACTGATCAGGCTTATAAAGGTACTGCAAATTATACTTTATCTGCTATGCCTGTAGGGGAATCAGATACACAAGCTTTAGTACTTGGCATAAGGACTTTAGCTCTCTGCTACCAGGCAAGCTTCCTTTCCCTTTTAAACCTTAGATCCCTCTAACCAGAATCACTTTTACTTGATCACCTGAACCGTAACCGCCAAAATGAGTCAATCTCTCCTTCAAACCAGGAAGGCGAAAAGAGAAGTCTGTTGTATCTGATATGTCATCCTTCAGGTTGTTAGGCTGAATTTAGGGGCAGCTAACCAGCCAGCTCATTTTGTATCACTCATTTTGAGGGCAGGTGGTAGCCACGATCTTTTTTGCACAATTAAGAGTTTTGGTGTCTCTTCCTGACTCAGAAGTTAGAATCCTATTCTCTGGTCTCTGTTATGTCCTAAAGTTGTTACCCCAGTTTAACAACATACAGGGTGCTTACAGACTTGGGGGAAAAACAAAACAGTGCTTTACTTTAAGCTCAGTGCAGCTCCAGCTGAGTGCAGCGCATACCCAGAAGAGGCATTACGTTAGTTTGACCCAGCTCACCCAGTGTCTGTATAGATTGGGCACTTCAGCAGGCCAAAAAGCCCTGCTGAAGTGCTCAATCTATACAGATGCTGGAGAGCTGGATCAAACTAACGCACTTCTTCTTCCAGTAAAATGTTGTCTTTTTTTGTTTTCCTACGTCTGTCAGAAGCCACAGTTCCAGTTATTCTAGATCAAATCAGAGGCTCTTTTGAGCATAGTATGAAATGCAGAGTAAATTTAAAAATAAAATGTATAGCAGGGCATAAAACCAGATTGATGGTCTTCTTCCTATAAAATGTGCACCTAGCCAGATTATAAGGTTTGTTATATAATATTGGTAAGTAAGATGAAAATCTTATGAATTTGAAAGCCCTTTGCCATACCTCATGGTAGGATACTGTATTTCAGTCTTCCAAAAAACCATATGACATTTCCATGAAAAATGAGGCAACACACTCTGTTGTCACCTCTCCCCTTTCATATAGTCTTTTATGCATATTTGATGCAACAATAAAGATTTTATCCAATTCAGTATTGATTCAATATATAAGTAAATCAGTGAATTCAGTGTGGGGTCATTGACAATATAACCTAGATGATCCCTCTATTTGTATATTAGATTCTTATCAATTTCTCTGTCATAGTGTTTACACAAAACTGATTTGCATTTAATAAAAGATTTTCCTTGCCCAAGTCCATTGTTGTGCTTGACCCCCAGATGTTTGCATAAAAACTTATTAGCATGTTTAACTTTGGATGAATGTCTCATTATCATGTAAATGAAGTTAGCTCCTTTCTAAGGTTAATTGTTACAAAACAACCCTTCCAGAGACGTATCATAATTTACTGAACGCTAAATACCAGGCAGATAGGGCAGCGACCATCACATTATTGTGGCCTAAAACTTAACTATATAGAGCTCAGTAGGGGAAACAACAATACAGTAAGTAATTACTTCTATTAGCTGTACGTTATACACAGCTCTGCTCTGGTTTTGAAATGCAGCCCTTCGTCAAACTAATTTCTGGCCATGTTTTACATCGAGGTTTGCTGAGTGGCAGCCAGAGGGTAAATCTAGTTTAGAAGTTGGTAAATGGTATTATAT